CTAGTTGTGTGCTTTGATTTCCTACTCAGACATCACCTAGTCCAGGTAGAAAGCTGTTTCTGATACCTAGTACTATGAGCAACATTTTTAAGAACCCTAATTAATTTGCACAAAGCATGGGGCTCTACTTCACAATCCTTTTTTTTTTTAGAGAGGTAGATCTACCTTTTTCTCCAAAGAGACCGAACTTCAGACAATGACTAAAGACTGGCACCCAAACTGCTTCCAGTTAAGCCTGGGCCCTGGTCCTTTCTTTCTCTCCTCCTTGTGCTGCAGGAAAGCAGGCACCTGGGAATTAAAGCAATTCTCCAGCACAGCTTGTCCCCGCCCTCCTCAAACCTCAGCAGCTTTCCAGAGTCCTAACAACCCCTCAGCAGGGCTATAGTCCCTCAGACCAGCCCTCCATCCTCCAGCAAGAACTACTGACCACCCTTCTTGCAGGCTCCACTCAGGGGCTCCTGTCAATCCCTTCCTGAAAGAAGCTAAGCCACTTTGGTCAGAGGCAACAGAAGCAACAAGGTAAACATTAGGTTTGGCCAGGGATGTTGGAATTTCTCCCTGATCTATTGCGTCAAACTGACCCGTTTTAGCTGAATGATTCCCACTGCCCAACAGTCCAGATTGCACCAAAAGCTAGATGAAGGGCCGCATTGGTGAGCACTCTGGCCTCTCTGACCTTCTAGGCTACCCATGTGACCATGGCCTGCTGGCTCAGTGTGAAGACCAGAGTCCTGTCCCCTCCCAGGGCAGGACAGTTTCTGAAGGCCATAGAGACAGCACGTGTGCTCAACTGCTGGCCTCATATTCTTGTCATGTGGACAAGTGGAAACACTCAGAAGTCAGAGCATGTGGGTCAGAAAACAACAAGGAGGGGCTGGCAGGCCTCTCTACCCTGGGCAGTACCAGCTGGCTTTGTCATGAAGCCCCCACTGTGGTGTTACTGGACACAGAGTTGGGAAGAGATGCACCAGGGTGCAGATCATCTTTCCACCATAAATAACCCAGGAGCATGGATAACGTTGAACTATAGTGAAATAACAAGGAAACAATGAGGTTGCATATTTATACCCTTGTCTTAATATAATTTTCCCAATTTTTAGGCTCACATCATTTAACTTTAATTATGGCTGGGTTAAATGACTGGCCCTCAAAATTCCTGATGGTTGGACAACCAGCTCTCAGGAGCTCACCACTCAGTAAGAGCTCTGGGAGCCAAGGCCAATTGCAGTTCACCAGGCCACCTTTCCTGTCTGCCCCCCCAGACCCCAGGCAACCTGACACCACCCACCTGGAGTGTGAGTGTCAGGTTGGGCCTCACAAGGCCAGCCTTCCCTTCCAGAGGCTTTGCAGGCCTCTGTGTTATCTGTCCCCAAATGCAATTGGATACCCCTTATTTCTAAAGTCACCAGGGACCCCTCACCATTATCCCAGGTTTCCCATTTTGAAGCATGAATCTGTGAAGGGCAGCACCTCAGCACCCAGCTGACCATGGCTCCTGGTCACTCAAGCACCTAGTGTTTGGTTCACATCACAAGTGCTGGCACTGGTGTGCTGTGTGCTGAGGACAGCAGATACAGGCTTAAGGTCAAGAAGGGGTAACCACTCCCCAGGGAGAGGTCAAGGTCCAGAAGATGAGGTGTGAGTTACACCCTGAAAGAGGGGACAGGGAAAGGCAGAGGCCCTTGCCGAGCCACACAAGGTCCTAGTTTGACTCAACAAATTTCCTATATTTTAAAGATGAGATTTTACTTAAGAATCTGAGTTTTTAACTTCTCTTGGAAGTCTGAGGCCAGGGGTACCTGGGTAGCACACTCTTAATTTCAGCTCAGGTCTTAATCTCAGGGTTGTGAGTTCAAGCCCCACATCACACACACTGGGTGTGGAGTCTGCTTAAGAAAAAAGGAAGGAAGGGAGAGAGGGAGGGAAGAAGGAAGGAAAGAAGAAAGGGTGAAAGGAAGGAAGGAGGGAGGGAAGCTCGAGGCTCATCCCCTGATCCTTATGGCTGCTCCTGGAGGGTCCTGGCCTGCTAATCTCTAGCAAGCAACATGGAAGATGTCAGCCAGGGTCAAGGACCTCCTTGGTCTGGAGTCTGGGGCAGGGGGAGGCTGTCCTAGGAATGGGATGAGTAGGAGCAGACTCAGAAGGTCCCAGGTTGCAAGGGTGTCCAGGAGGCCCAAAGCACTGGAGATTCAGGAAGAACCACCCCAGAGTGACACAGGACAGACACTGCATGAAGATGCCTAGATGAAGCCCCAGAACACTCCAGAGCTGGAGCTCAGAAGAGCCTGGCAGGGACGGGGAGGGGGTTGTGCTGACCGGGTGCTCTAAATCCTGACGACACAGGTGCATGCTGACATGAAAATTCATCCAGCTGTGTTCCACCTCACTTGCTCACTGTGTGTGCCAGACTCAACTCAGAAAGCTAAAAAGGAAACAGGAAGATAGAGGAAGGGCAGAGGACCTCGGTGAGCCAGGCTGCCTGACTTCAGACCCACTGAGCTCCTATTTCCTCAGGGCCAAATGAGAACCAATTTTGGAGCAAAGACAAGCACGTGATGACTAGTCCCTGGTCTGATGGGAGTAGGGGAGGCTTAGGGTGTGACAAGAGGTGCTCTGCCAAGAGGGAAGGATGGGACGAGGTGGAGGGTCAGGAAGGGTCTCCCTTAGGTGCTGTGCTATGAGGTACAAGGCCTCCTCCTCCCCATTGTCTTCCTCCTGGGGGACAGGCTTTGGACACCAAAGTATTCAGGCAGCTCAAAAATTAAATGTGCTGCCCAGACACACACCCCCTCCCTGCACTCAGCAGGACCAGGAGATCTCCAGCTGTCCCATATATCTCTAAGCAGCTGGCCTCCCCTCATTCTTACTGCTCTGGTGTGTGTTCTGGTCCTAACCAGGGCTTTGTACACAGCGGGAGCTCAGGGAGTATCTGTGAGTTAGACACACAGATGATTAACACATTCATATGCACACTCATACACATACTCACACATGGGACTCCTAAAAGCCACACACTCTTCTGACAGCCTGACTCCTGTTCCACCATTCTTCCCAACATCCTGAGAGAAAAACATCATTTTACCCATTTTACAGGTGGGGAGACTGAGGTCTGGAAGTTAGCCGACCTTCCTAAGGTCACAGAGCTGAAGAGAAGCAGACCAGCACCCTTACGCACTAGGTGTGGAGAAAAAGAGTAATGAGTTCTGTATCCAAGCCATTAGCCAGGGAGGACTGGGGCACTAAGCCAGCACCTCAAAGGTGAAGGAGACACAGGGCAGTGCATGAGTGAACACTGAGTCCTGCCCTCCCCTGCTGTGCATGTCCAGACGTCCAAGTGGCATCTGGCTCCAGGACCTGGAATTCAGACTGTCTGCCTTAGAGCTTCGAACCCTCACAGCCTTCCCTGCAATCGGCAAACACACAGGTGTGAGGTACTCTGCTAACCATGGAAAAACTCCACCTCATGGAGCTTGTGGTGGAGTGGGGAGACAACGAGATTGTGCCTCTATGAGGTCAGAATGAAATAGGGTGTTGTAAGGATCAGGTTTGGCAAGTGTTCAAGACAGGCATTCCGAAGATGACTTTAGACTAAGACTCAAAGATGAGGAAGCCCTGGAATGAGTGTTGTGAAGGCAGAGGACAGACCTTGTACAATGGCCCAGTGGTCAGTCAGAGTGAGTGCTTATGGCACATGGGAGTGCCTTGGAGATCGATGGACAAAGAGAGGGCAGGGCCAGGCTACCAGGAAATCCTCCTTCACCAATGGAGAGTGGTGGGTGGGAAGAGGTCTCCATGAGCCTTGTGCTCTAATGGAGAGCATTAGGATTAAGCTGCCTGCTGGTAAGAGCACTCCAGGGCAAGTGGGGTCTCCAGAGCGCATTCCTGCCTATGACAGCAAAGGGTGGGCAGCTGCAGAGGGCCTGAGAGGGGCTGGCTGGAGGGGAACCATGCAAAGAAGAATCATGGTGGCAGGGAAGTCTTGGTACCAGGGAACACTTAATACAGGCCAGAAGATACATGAGGTTGTGAGTGGTGCAGCATGAAAGCACCTGTCTTTGGGCAGTGGCTGAGGAAACTGAGAAACTCGAGCCAGGCAGGTGAGGGGAGAGCTTCACGGAGTTCCTCTGAGCTTGGCCAGTGAGCCTGGACAGCAGCCTGGTGTTCAGTTGTGAGTCAATGTCCTGGGAAGGGTCTGGCCAGGGCCTCATGGAGCATGTCAATGAACTATCTCTCTCAACTCATTCTGTGGCATCCAAAATGCAATGAATCCGTGCTCTCAAACCCAGCTTCTCAAGGCTGATTAGGGAAGGCAGGTTGGTCAGAGTTTTGCCTTTAAATTTTAATGCATTCACTCTTTCATTCACTAACCCAGCCTAAGGCCCAGCACCAGACAGTGAGTGACAATGATGTAGCCAAAGCTTGGAGGCTTTACCTTCCAAGAGGTTTCAGGACACCTGGGTCAAGGAGCAGGTAGTCATGTGCTTAGATGAAACCATGGGTGATGGGACTCTGTGGAGATGCTATCGGGAGGGTACCATCCATCACCAGTGTCCCTCTGGAGCTCTGTGGTCAGATGCATGTGTACATGTGTATTGGGTATCACACAGGTGTTGGGGGTGTGTATGGCCACAGGCTCACAGTTGTGCCCCCCAGCTGCTGCTGTGGTCACATAGGTGTGTGTGTGTGTGTGTGTGTGTGTGTGACCATAGGCCCACAGGTATCCCCCCTCGTGTGCTGCTATGGTCACACATGTGGGGAGAAGGGGTAGCCACAGGCTCACAGGTGTGTCCTCCCGGCTACTACTGTGGTCACCCAGATGTGTGTGTGTGTGTGTATGTGGCCACAGACTCACAGGTGTCCCCCCCAGGTGCTGCTGTGGTCATATAGGTGTGGAGGGTGAGGAGTGACCACAAGCTCACAGGTGTGCCCCCCCAGGTGCTGCTGTTGTCACCCAGGTGTGTTTGTGTGGCCACAGGCTCACAGCTGTGCCCCCCACCCAGGTGCTGCTATGGTCAGCTAACAAGGTGTTTGAGGAACTGACAGACATCGAGAGGCAGTTCCACAAGGCATTCTACACCGTGCGTGCGTATCTGAACTGTGACCGGTACTCAGTGGGCCTCCTGGACATGACCAAGGAGAAGGTGAGGCCTCAGTTCTCCACAGGACTCCTGGCCAGCCTTGTCCGCTCCTGTGAGGACTCACTAACTCTGTCCCTTCTCTTCTCTGCTCAGGAATTCTTTGACGTGTGGCCCGTGCTAATGGGAGAAGCCCAGCCATACTCAGGCCCACGCACACCCGACGGCCGTGTGAGTCATGGTGGAGGGGGGACAGACCAAGCCCATGTACCTCGGTTTCCCTGGTTCCAACTACAACTCCAGAGTTGGGAAGGGACCTGTGCCAACCTGACCAAGGGTGGGAGAGGGAGGGCTACAGGAAGGATGTGGGGCTGTGGGGACAGATGGTTGTAGGCCAGCTGGCTACCTGACTGCTCTGGAGGTCAGTCTCTGAGTGCTTGTCTGCTGTCCCCAGTGACTCCAGCCCATGCTCTGGGGCCAGGTTGGGGTGGGTGCAGATCTCCTGATGGGGTTATTAGCCCAGTGAGAATGACCAGCAGCTGCCCCACCCTTAAATGACTGGAGAACCTCCCGTATGGAACCACGTATACATGGTTCCACGTGCACACATGTGTGCATGGGCAGGAGAAAGGCAGTGCGAAAAGGGCATGGGAGAAGGGGCAGATACCTCTGTCACTATTGTACACCCAATCTGGCACACACTACCCCACCTGGCCATGATTCAGTCTTCCCACCAGTCACATGGGGCTGATAACTGGGCCTTCCTCACAGGATTGTGGGTCAAGTGTGTAGAAGAGTTCCTGTTCATGGTTTGGCTGTGATCATGACTTGCCACAGTTGAGTGTTTGTGTGTCTGTGTATGTGTGTACTGGCCTGGGCGGGTTGTGTGCATACATTTGAAGGAGTCCCAGACCTAGTTTGTGTGTGGGCTTGAGTGGGACACAGACAGAATGAGGACAAATGCAAACCAAATGTGTATTGTGTGTCCCATGAGTGTCAGTGATGGTCTGTGTGTGTGTACATAAAGTGCATGTGAGGTTGTGTGTAACTATGGGTGTGGGGTTGTGAACGCATGTGTGCACATCCATGTGTTTACGTGAGATTGTGTGTAACTGTGTGGGTGCACCCGTGTGCACGTGAGGTTGTGTAAAACTGTGGGGGGTGCATGTGTGCATGTCCATGTGTGCACGTGAGGTTGCATGTAACTGTGTGGGTGTGAGCGCACATGTGCATGTCCATGTGTTATGTGAGGCTCTGTGTAACTATGTGGGTGCACGTGAGCACATCCATGTGTGCATGTGAGGTTGTGTGTAAGTGTGTGGGTGCGTGTGGCATCCAAAATGTGTGCACGTGAGGTGTGTAACTCCGTGGGTGCATGAGTGCATGTCCATGTGTGCATGTGTGGTTGTGTATAACTGTGTGGGCGCACGTATGCAAATCCATGTGTGCCTTGAGGTTGTGTGTAACTGTGGGGGTGTGGTGTGTGCTCTGTGTGCAAATGCACGTCCAGTACGACACCTGGGTAGCTCCTCTAACCCCCGGGGAGCTGTCCCAGGGAGCCCTTCACGACTGCTGTGGTCCATTTTGCAGGAAATCGTCTTCTACAAAGTCATCGACTATATCCTCCATGGCAAGGAAGACATCAAGGTCATCCCGTAAGTGCCAGGGTCTTGGGAGAAGCATCACCTGAAGGCAGAGCACCCTCAGACCCAGGCCCGGTGGGCTTTGGGGATTTGTCACAATGGCTCAGCAGCCTCAGGCTGGTCCCTCACACAGGGCTGCTCCCTATGCTGGAGGGTGAGACAGAATGGGATGGGGAGGGAGGCACCATGGACGTCCAGAGTGGACTTCCAGAGGCCCAGGTGAGCTATCCAGGTGGTCCTGTCAGCTATAACTGATCTTTGAGTCCCTCAGGGTCTCATCTTAGCTCACCCAGCCACCCACGCAGGTGGAGCCCCCAGAAGGCACACCCCATAGGGCAGGTAGGAGGGGATGTCCACCCCAGGGAAGCACAGCTAGGCTGAGGGCAGGTCAGGGCTCCAAACTAGAGACACTGGGGACAGGTGTTGGCCGTTCCTCGCTCTGTAGCTGCACGGCCATGTGACCCATAAGCCTGTCAGAACCCCATCCTGCAAGTTCCACCGAGGGTCTGGGATCCAGGCACTAAGCCTGCAGGACGGGTGACTGACACTGAGCTCCAGGGGCTGGACTGAAGAGTGGGGCCCCCAGTGGGGAAAGGGCTTCTCCAGGGTGAGGGGCCTCAGCATAGGCAGAGGAAGGATAAAACAGTATAGACACCCCCAAACCACACTCCTGGCCTCCTCTTATTCCCCCTGAGTCCACTAGCCTTCCCACCCCACCCAGAGCTCAGGAAAGGGAATCAACATTAACACACACACACTCTGCCAAAATCTACGTGCACATCTAATAACCCACCCACCATCTGACCCTCTGCTCTCTCCCCCCAGCACACCCCCAGCTGATCACTGGGCCCTGGCCAGTGGTCTTCCAACCTACGTGGCAGAAAGTGGCTTTGTGAGTCTGCTGAGGCCCTGCCCTTGCCTGGCGCCCCGGCCCTTCCTGCCAGCCTGTGCACCCCTGCCAGCTCCCAGATGCCCTGCCTACGTAGAGCTCATCGGGCTGGATAGTCGTCTTTAGAACCCTATCGTACATTGGGCTGCTTCAGGTGAAATTGTTTTCCTGATCCTCTTCCAGATCTGTAACATTATGAATGCCCCTGCCGACGAAATGTTCAAATTTCAGGTATCTATTCATTTATTAGAGAAAGTATGCTTACTTAGGGAAGAACATATTGTGGTTTAGAAACAATGAACCAAATTAGTTTTCGCTCCTTAAGAAACAACCTCACAATCTCAGGGGCTAACCGCAGCAGACACACACTTCCAGGCACAGGTCTATGAGTAGGCAGGCGAGGCCAGGCCACAAGAGGCTTTTCAAGTCTGCCCCTTGGGTCCTCCTCTGGGGACACATGACCAGAGCAGGCTCTTTTCTGGAGAAGGCCAAGAGTCAAGTGGTCTCCAAGACTCTTCCAGGAACTGGCCACTACCTTTCACTGGCCAGGTGTCAGTGGAATGTGACATGGGAACAGCAGCATATTTTGTGGGGCCCACAGAATGGAATGCAATAATTCAACAATTATTATCAACATTAAGATCATGGTGGCAAAGACAATCGAGCGTGGGAGCCTTCTAAGACAGGGGATCCTGGGTGCCCTCAGGGGATCCTGGGTGCCCGCAGGGGATCCTGGGTGCCCACAGAATTCATACCATGAAGCTGCCCTGCGGGGCATAGAGCCCCAGTTCCATCTAGCAGGAGAAGTCACAACACAAACCCAGGGACATAGAGCTCTCACGCATGGGGGGGAGTTAGCAGACAGGAGGAGCGACCCAATCACCACAGTTTGAGGGCAGAAGACATGAAATGGGTGCTTGCTGGGTGACAGGCCTGAGTCAGGGCCAGACCCAGAGAAGCGGGCATCTCTGGACACCTCTCCCTACAGGAAGGGCCTCTGGACGACTCGGGGTGGGTCATCAAGAATGTCCTCTCCATGCCCATCGTCAACAAAAAGGAGGAGATTGTGGGGGTTGCAACATTCTACAACAGGAAAGACGGGAAGCCTTTTGACGAGCAGGATGAAGTCCTCATGGAGGTAAACACATGTCACAGGGGCAGCTCTTGGAGGGACGCCTGTGTGACAGCATGGGACCCAGCCATGTGGAGACCCTTCCTATCACCTGCTTTAGCAGCATGATGCCCGAGGAGAGTGGGACCAGAGGAGCTGTGAGGGCCCTGGAGAATGCTTGAAAGCACTCAGGGCACTGGAGCAGCACTCCACACGCCAGGACACAGGGTGGTGACACTGCTGCTGTGTCTGCAGTCCCTCACGCAGTTCCTAGGCTGGTCAGTGCTGAACACAGACACCTATGACAAGATGAATAAGCTGGAGAACCGCAAGGACATCGCCCAGGACATGGTTCTGTACCACGTGAGATGTGACAAGGACGAAATCCAGCTGATCCTGGTACCACTCCTGTCAGGCCCTGGTCCCCTTTCCTGCCCAGGGGGGAGGCAGGGCATCCCTGCAGTTGGGGCATATCCTGTGGTCAGAGGGCTGGGCTAGCCCTGGAGTCCTACGTGCTCTGCACAACCAGGAGCAGTCCCTCCCCTGCGTCCTCAGCGGCGAGCAGGGATTGGTCAGAGCCCTCCTGGTCAGGCTGTGTGAGGACTCCCCCTGTTGTCCATGTGGAGAACTTAGAACAGTGCCAGAGAGGCAAGGAGGGACATACAGGAAATGGGAGCCACTGTCACTTTTCTCCAAAGCTAGAAGCTCCAGCTAGGACTCCTGTCTTGTGCCTGATGTCACCTTGTCCCACACTCATGAGGGGTGTAGGCAACGCTGTCACCCTGTCCCATACTTATGAGGGGTATAGCTGACACTCACTCTGTCTCAACACAGCTGTCTTCTCTCTTAGCCAACAAGGGAACGCCTGGGGAAGGAGCCTGCCGACTGTGAGGAGGATGAGCTGGGGACAATCCTGGTCAGAATCTGACTCCCACCCCTCAGGTGGAGACTGGAGGGGCCTGAGGGTCGGGGGAGACTTCCTCAATCCTAGGAGACCTGAGCATGTCATCTGATGTTTGCTGCTGTCTGCATGTCTCTATGCCTGGGTCCGTGTGTGTGTGTGTGTGTGTGTGTGTGTGTGTGTGTGTGTGATATCTCCTAATGTGCCTGTCTTTGCACCTGTTTCCCCAACAACAACTTTGGTCTCATAGTGGGGCCTGTGAGTGGCTAGCCACAGGCCAGAGCAGCTGGAAGGGCAGATGTCACCACAAACCTGGGACATCTGAGACTGGGCAAAGGATCCTGGGAGGGGAAGAGAAGATTGTGGGGCTGCCTCCCTCAGCCCCACAATCCCTCTCACAGAAAGAAGTGTTGCCAGGGCCCACCAAGTTCGACATCTATGAGTTCCACTTCTCTGATCTGGAGTGCACAGAGCTGGAGCTGGTCAAATGTGGCATCCAGATGTACTACGAGCTGGGCGTGGTCCGAAAGTTCCAGATCCCTCAGGAGGTGGGGATGGGGTCCATGGGAAGGGGTCCAGATCCACTGGGACGTGGGGGGTTGTGGCAAGGGGTCCCAGATCCACTGGGAGATAGAATTTGGACATGGTTAAGGGGTCCCAAATCCCCTAAGATGTGGGAGAGATGTGGTCAGAAGTCTTAGGTCCTACAGAGAGTTTGGGGACAGTCATGTTCATTATAGAAACTGTGCCTAGCATAAATGACTGAATGGATGTATCGATGGTTAGATGGGTGGAGGGAATGTTTGGTAAATGGTTGTTCCAAACAATTTGACCATTAAGTGCATCATTAGGCAATAGTGGGATTTGGGCGTGGGATGGAGAGGAAACAGGAGCCCATGAGCTACAGAAAGCAAAGGCCATCTGCACAGTAAGAATGTACCAGGGTGGAGGGGTGGCCCTTCCAGCTCTGCCCTGAGCCCTGCTGCTTTCTGATAGTTTCATGGCCGCTGTCCTGCCTCCACCTTCACACCTCAGGGAATGTCTGCTTCGCCACCATGCAAGTGAGGGTACCGTCTCTCCTCGTGCCTCCCCTGGGAAAAGGTGCAGCACGCTGGCATTTTCAAAAGAAGTTTTACTACATACTAAAGGAAAACACAGAAGCAAAAAGCAGAGAAATGATTACTAGAATTTTTTAAATTTCAGAATGATTTTCTGGCACCAAAAATCACAGTGGATGAGTAAGAGGCCCCTTCGGCCTGCACCCTGTTTTCCAGGGGTAACTGCCCTTGTAGGAGAAGGCTCACACGTCCGGGGCCTGCCCCTTCATCTCTGGACCCTTAGCCTCCATTTTATTTCTCCACTGTCCATGCCATGAGCCCACACATGGGCCATTCAAACACCACTCTTGAAACAGACCTTTTCTTCTAAAACGTTCCATACCCCTTGCCTGGGGTCTCCCAATTTGGGGCTGGGCAATAGGTTGGAGGCCCCCTGCAAGCTGGAGCTCTTCTTAGCTTTGACACTGGTCCCCTCCCGGCATCCCCCCTCAGGCTGCCCGCCACCCCTCGTCAACCCCACAGGTGTCCCACCCAGGAGAGTGGTCAGGGGCCAGCAGCAAATGGCTGGGAGAGGAAGGACTCTCACACCAGGCTGTTGGGGGGACTCCCGCACCGTGCTCAGAGCCCATGCTCCTCCAACTCCCCTCAGGTCCTGGTGCGGTTTCTGTTTTCTGTGAGCAAAGGTTACCGGAGGATCACCTACCACAACTGGCGCCACGGCTTCAATGTGGCCCAGACCATGTTCACGCTACTCATGGTGCGTGTCCAGCATGGGCATGACAGGGGCTGCCCTTGCCCCCCTCCCACTGGGTCAGGCCTGTGAGGGGCAGGCGCTGGAGGGGGGTGCTCCTCTGCGAGCGAGGTGGGGGCCTTCGCTGGCAGAGGAAAGGAGGAGGTGGGGCGCACCCCCCACCCCAGGAGTGCAGGAGGGCCCCTGGGCTGAGGCAGGCAGCAACATGAGGCCCTGACCCCTCCCCACCCTGCCTGCATCCAGCCCACCACCCCCCTACCCCCCACCTCCCCACCCCTCCCCCCACGCAGTGGGGAGGAAAGAGGAGGGGAGGGGAGGGCAGAGCGGGGGCAGTGGGGCGGGGAGGCCACTGGAGCTGCGCAGCTGTAGGGCCCTGTACCCTCAGACTGGGAAGCTGAAGAGCTACTACACGGACCTGGAGGCCTTCGCCATGGTGACCGCGGGCCTGTGCCACGACATCGACCACCGCGGCACCAACAACTTGTACCAGATGAAGTAGGCAGCACGCTGGGCCCCCCGGGGTGCTCTGGGGGAGCATGTGTCCAGTGGCCCAGGGAGGGGCCAGCCCGGAGCTCACTGAGGGTTGGGGAGGCCCCTTCCCTGGCGAGCAGGGAACTGCAGGGGCACCCAGAGGCCACAACCAGCCTCTGTGGGGGCTTCTGGCCAAACTGATTCTAACGAAACCTCTGTAACAGATCCCAGAACCCCTTAGCCAAGCTCCACGGCTCCTCGATTTTGGAAAGGCATCACCTGGAGTTTGGGAAGTTCCTGCTCTCTGAGGAGGTTCGTGTCCCATTCCTCACTCAGAATTTCTCCATATTTATGCCTGACTGTCACCTGCACCCCTGGCCCTCCCTGGCCCAGCGCCCACGACGCCACAGGGCATTCTGACCAGGGGCTAGAGGAGGGTCGGCGGTGATGGGTGGGGTTTGAACGTGGAAATGCCCCCACCGCAGGGTGAGGTGGGCTCAGGTGTCCGGCAGTGGTGGATCTGGTGCAGGGTCTGTTGCCCAGGACCTGCGACCTAAGGGTAGGGTCAGATAGATGGTTCCTGGGAGGGGAGGGGACAGACTGGGAACCCTAACCCTTCCTGCAGTCCCTGAACATCTACCAGAACCTGAACCGGCGGCAGCACGAGCACGTGATCCATCTCATGGACATAGCCATCATCGCCACGGACTTGGCACTCTACTTCAAGTGGGTGCAGCCGCCCTGCGGGAGGTGGGATGAGAACCTGGGGGGTCGTGGGAGTGGTAGGGTAGGGACCTAGAGCTCCTAGAACACCCTTGCCAGCACAGCGGCCCTGCAAGGCCTGAGCTGTCTACCTCAGTTTCTCTCCTAGAAGGGTGGTGGGGTTAGGATCAAGGAGGAGAGGGGTGTCCTTCATGGGGTGAGCGGGTAGGGGTCGACTGTCTCTCTCTGTTCTTGGGGTTCAGGAAGAGGACGATGTTCCAGAAGATTGTGGATGAGTCTAAGAACTATGAGGACAGGAAGAGCTGGGTGGAGTACCTGTCCCTGGAGACGACCCGGAAGGAGATAGTCATGTGAGCTGTAGGGGCAGCAGGAGCAGTCTCCATGCTGGCTAACCCTCACGTGCCCCTCCCAAAGGAGAAGACACCAGGCCCCTGAATAATACACAAGAACAGCTCTTCTCTAAATAGCTTTGATGAAGCGTCAAAATGAAGCCTCTTACTTGTTCCTCGTTTTCAGGGGAGACAGTACAGGATTGGGGTCAGACAGTCCATTTCCTTAGTTTGTGGATTTGGCAATAATTCTTATTCATGAACCTTCACTGATGAATCTACAAAGTGGAGATTCAGAACTATGGTCCTCCTCCAGGCCCGTCCCAGAGATCCAACAAGGAAATGTGTAAATCATGGGCACTGGGAGCTGCCCAGTGAAGACATGTTGGTTTTAGCTTATGGAGGCAAGGGGAGGGGGAGGTGATGAATGAGGGTTAGGGTTGGAGTGGGTGTGTGTACAGTAGGAGGTCTACTAGTGGAAGGAGTGCCCAGAAGCAGAGGTGGAAGGGAGGGAGGGAGGGAGAGAGGCCAGCCTGGGCACACCTGGAGCTTCATCTTCCTGCAGGGCCATGATGATGACTGCGTGTGACTTGTCTGCCATCACCAAGCCATGGGAAGTCCAGAGCAAGGTCAGAATTCATGCAGGGCCCCAGCCTCTTGTCATTGCCTCTTGCAATTGCATCTAGGAGAAGCCTGAGAGGGGGGACAGAACCTTTGTTTGCAAGTAGCACTGAGGACTGCCCCTCTGCCCCCACTCTGGGGCTGGGCTCACGGCCACCATGTGGGCACACACCAACATGCTCACTGGGCGGTAGGTCCAGCCTGAAGACTGGGAATCCCAGAGGGCCTGAGACAGAGAAGACTGAGGGCCCTTTGTCAGTTTCTGACCAAGCGCTGAACTCCACAAGATCACTGCCTTTTATGTACCCCCTGCCCACCAGGTTGCTCTGCTGGTGGCGGCTGAGTTCTGGGAACAGGGTGACTTGGAAAGGACAGTTCTGGATCAGCAGCCCATTGTGAGTGTTACTTCCAGAATCTTCTAACCCCACTGTGGTCTTTGGGAACCTCAGGCCTTGCTTGGTGCAAACAGGGAACCCCTGGGGATCTGGGGTGCTGGGACCTCAGTCTCACATTGTGGGGTCCATCATGTGACATGAGCTGAGTATAAATTAGGTGGCTCGGGATCTGGGTAAAGTTGTAGAAAAAAATAGGGTTTCGGTAAAACTGTGATGCCCATGCAGAAATGGAAAGTTATTGTCAAAAGTGGTCAAGGCAGGACATGACCCATCTCCCAGGGCCTCCCCGGCCCAGGCAGCCCCACAGTGAGCCTCAGCCAGGCTGAGAGCTGCTCCAGGAAGGGCATCAAGTGGGGAGAGTGCCGTGCCAGAGAAGGCCAGTGGCAGGAGTCCAGGTGCCCTCACCGTGATAGATGGAAGATGCTGAGATCTTTGGGTCAGTAATGTGGGACCAGGAATATGCTGCTAGCCTACAGTGGAACCTGCATAGTATCCAAGGAGATGAGGACAGCATAGCATTATCCAACAGAATTTGGAAAAGATGGAAAGAGGGTTTGTCTTACAAGTAAATTCCAGTCAGTGGAGCTGCCTGATCATGGGGTGGAGAAGGCTTTGGGGCCAGAGACAGGCTGCAGGAAAGGGTGTCCTAACCAACCAGCCAAGTCACCTGGGGACCAGGCAGGCCTCTAGTTCCTGCATGGCTCACCCTTGCTACATGGAGCTCCAGACAGTAGGTAGCTATGAAGGACAGACTAGCAGGGGACAGCCCAGGGGGTCTGGAGTATGTGGACACCAAGGATAGCCCGTCCAAGGGCCTCTGGATTTCGCCCTGCAGGGCTCTCAAGCCAGGTCTTCAGTTAGCACCATGGATAGCTCCCAAGAAAGTGGGAGGAAGGGGCTCCAGGACCTGAAACTGGGAGCATTATGGTGGACTCATGGTGGAACTACCAGATGACTCAGAGAAGGGGAGGGGCATTCTGACTGTCCCCCCTGTAAGGGCCAGCATCTATCAAGGCAGTCTAAGCCCCAAGACCAGAGGCTCCACTCATTCCATGGAAATTGCTTCATCTGTGTCTCTGTGGACATGTTCATCTGAGCCGGGTGGGGCTGAGTGAGACCTGCAGGCTCAGAAGAGGTTTCTCTGCTCCCCCCCAAGCCAATGATGGACCGGAACAAAGCAGCCGAGCTCCCCAAATTACAGGTTGGCTTCATCGACTTTGTGTGCACATTTGTGTACAAGGTGAGCAGGCTGGTGTGGGGCCTGGCTGGGTTCACAGGAGTGGGGGGACTGGTGTGGGTTCACACGATGGCCTGGCCTGCCATAGCCCCTGTTGCCTCATCCTTGCACTTAAAATCTGAAATCCTCAGTGTCATCCTAAGGAGTCCCTTCCCACCTTCCCCTCACCAGTTCCTCAGAAGCTCTTCATGCTTTCCCACAGGTCTCCACTCTCTGGGAGATCCTCCTCCCACCATGAGGTCTCACCTCACCTGTCCCTTCCCCAGACCCCATCTAGCCACCGCCAATCATGGCCTGCAGCGTATCTGTGGGTGCATCTGTTCAGTGCCTATGAACCCAGGGGGACAGCAATGGGTCCACCTGTCCCAGCTGGGAATGCCTCACCCAGCAAACATATGTTGCACTTGAGTGACCGGGGAACACTGTGCCAAGGACATGTGCTGTGACATCACAGCCCAGAGGACTGGTCAGGGAGTGTGTTGGGGGTCTGACTGCAGAGCCCCTCCCAAGTGATGACCGACACATCCATGGGCTCCATTCCATCTGATCCTGGGGGCTGTGAGGAGGAGGTTGTCTGCTTCTGAGTGAAGTCAGCCCTGATTGGGCCAGTCCACTCCCTACCTCGACCATCACAGCACCTGGGCTTCCCCTTACTGAAATGAAAGCTCAGCTCCCTTTGGTGCCCCCTCAGCAGGACTCTAAGTGCTGCAAAGGAAGGCAGAATCAGGATGAACATCCCAGTCCTGAAGGTCACAGGTCACAGCCCCACCACAGCACCCCCCTTCCCACTGCCTTCCCCAAGTCCATCCACATGCTCCATGCTTGTGTGTGTGTGTGTGTGTGTGTGTGTGTGTGTGTGTGTGTGTGATGTGCGTAGAAGAGCCTGGAGAAGGGGCTGCAAGACCAACCTGTCTGCCCAAGTCTTCCCACCCTCTCTGCCAAAGGACTCCCCTTCTGCCATTGATATTCTCTATTCCTGGGGTCCTCTCCCCACTAAGACCACCTGTGCCCTTCCCATCCTCTCTTCTCCGTTTCCAGGGCTTTGCTGGGAAAGTGACATCTCAATGGCCTTCCCTTCTCCCTCAGACAGGTCCCCTCCCCAAGTTCTCCTCTTGGGTGAGCAGGGCAGGGTGGTGGGGGACAGGCTGGTGCCAGCGAGGGCCAAGTCATGGGGAGGCCACCTGCCCCAGATGCTTAGGAGCACTCAGGAGGTGTGACCCAGCTTCTTGATTCCCTGTCTTCCTGTCCAGGAGTTTTCCCGTTTCCACGAAGAGATCCTGCCCATGTTCGACCGACTGCAGAACAACAGGAAGGAGTGGAAGGCCCTGGCTGACGAGTATGAGGCCAAAGTCAAGGCCCTGGAAGAGCAGAAGCAGCAACAGGAGGAAAAGACAACAGCCAAGAAAGGTCTGGGCTGCAGGGCGGGTGTTTGGTTAGTCCCCACACGGAAGTGTGTGAAGGGACGAGGTTAAACAAGAAGGGCAGGTGGGGCTGGTTTGCTCAGGCTCCTTCCTGCAGAGGCAGCCATCCCTCGGGATTGGGCCTGACTGCAGGATCTCCTTGTTCCTTGCCAGGGACTCTCATTTTCTCTAAAGAAGTAACTATTTGAATGTTACTTCCTTTCTAAAGGGAGGAAAGCCCAGGTGAAACATTGAGAACTCTCAACAGCTATTTCTTCCACCACCAGACAGCAGTTCCCTCCTAATTAACTTAGGAAAATCTACCTCCACTTCCATGTACCCTCAGAAACGAAACAGAAGACCTAAGGGCGCACATCTGACTCCAGCTCAGGTCATGATCTCGGGGTCCTGGCTGGAGCCTCCCCAGTGGGCTCCGCGCTCAGCAGGGAGCCTGTTTGTTCCTCTGCCCCTCCCTCTGCTTGTGCGCACACACGCATACTCTCAAATGAATAAAATCTTTAAAAAAAGACCTAAAAAAAGAAAATACGGGAGCTAAGAGTCAAGCGTACATGACATCTCCCCCTGTACTACGTCAGAGCCTTTCTTTCCCTACTCAACCCCACCCCTGCCTGCTGTTTTGGTAATGTGGCTCACGTGGCTTCATCGTAAGGAGTCACCATGGGGCCTAGACAGAATCCCTGACGTTGTTGCCTTGGTATTTGCCTGTGCGTGGCCACTGTGGCCCTGGGACTTTTGCTATTTCCTGCCCTGGGGAGGAAACCTATGTCAAGTTATGGGGGCTGTGGGGGCACCAGAACTAAAAGTGTCATGAGAGCTAAGATAAGAAAGGCTGAGTCCTGGCTAGGCTAATCAGCTCAGGCTTCCCACAGGTCCCACACTCTGCCCTCCCTCTAGCGGGGCTGGCAGAGGACACAGGGCAGGAGAGGCGGGGCCGGCAGACACAGTCCTCTCACCCTTGTTCTCTCTTGCAGCAGGAACAGAGATTTGCAATGGCGGCCCAGCACCCAAGTCTTCGACCTGCTGCATCCTGTGAGCTGGTCCATGGGTTCTGATGGCGCCCCAATCCGTTCACCCGCTGGGACCCCACCTCCAACCATTTGCTACAGGAGGTTAGGAAGCCCAAGAAAATGACTGAAGACAACTTTGGATATTTTGATTTTTTTTTAAGATTTATGTTTTTATATTGGGGCACCTGGGTGACTCAGTGGATTAAGCCTCTGCCTTCGGCTCAGGTCATGATCTCAGGGTCATGGGATCGAGCCCCACATCAGGCTCTCTGCTCAGCAGATAGCCTGCTTTCCCCTCTCTCTGCCTGCCTCTCTGCCTCTTGTGACACCTCTCTCTCTCTGTTAAATAAATAAAATCTTAAAAAAAAAATTTTTTTTATAAAGTCAACTACAAATACACTTAAGCGTCCTTTACACTCATCTGTCTTTTGGGTACACAGCAATACCACAGAGAGACGTTTGGAAAGGGTCAGTGACCTGCATGTCTGAAAGCACTGGGTGAGGTCCACAGGCGCACATGTAATGTGTATATGGGTAGACGAGATACACAGTTGTTACCTATCTGGTTCCGGGGCAAATAGGGCCAGAAATTGAGAATACAATAAAAACAAGTTGCCCTTTTCTTTAATGCAGCAGCAGTTGTGGTGGAGGGCACATCATGTCTAACCTATGAGAAAGTTCTGCCACCAAGGTCAAGGCCATGAGTGACCTGAGCAAAAACACCTGGAACAGCCCTCTGCACTGAGGTCAAGGGGGCACCCTGCCACAGCTGGGGTCTGCCCAAGTCCTACACCAGTGATGGTTCCCTTACTGTTTGTGCACCAGCAGAGCCAGACCCAAACGCATGACTCCCATGTGAAATGGGTATTACTTACCTGGTAGAAATTAAGGACTTTTCAGATCCTGACCACATGAGCTCCAAATCATTCATTCCCAACACTGGACACCTTACCCCACAGTAAACTCCTCTCAGCTGCCTGATTAGATGGGCTGTGGAAAAGCCATTTCGGATGCCACACAAGCCCACCCACAGAGGCCCTGAGCTCCTGGGCGGGCGGGGAACACCAACACCCCCCACAACCATGCAGACACAGCAAGGAGACAATTTCCATCTCAGCAGGGAGACCCGCTGACAGTCCATGATTAGGGCACCAACCAACAACTCCAGAAGGAACTGAGCTGGGCTCACTCAGCCTTCAACTTAACTAAAACCAAGGCTTTCAAGTGCTTATCCACTGCTTCTCATCTAGCCTCCCACCCCCATTTGCAAAAGAATTCATTTTACCAACTTTGTGCCAGGCCTATGGCTGGGAAGTGGCCCCATTACAACATGAGGAGTCAGGCAGAACGTGGCCGTCAGTTCAGCAAGAGCCCAAGCCCACTGCAGAGCTTTATGCAGCACCCCAGCCTGGTCCTCAGAAGGTCACAGGCCTTCCTTAGGGTCGAGGGGAGGGTTCCCGACAAGGGGAGAGAGATCCAGGTCCCATCAGTAAGGGCATCAGGCCACCTCCCAACCCGCGTTTGTACTGTCCATCAAAGTGTCTGGGCCAGAGCTCACTGAAGACCAAGCAGCAGCCACAACATCCAAGCTGCCTGTGTCTGGGATAAACTGCTCCCTTTGGGGCTCCCCAGTCAGACACCTCAGAGAACAGGTGATGGGAATTTCTGTGTTCCCTGCCCGTTTGTGCACTGCACCCTGGGTTCAGAAGGTCCATTCTGAAACCCACTCCCTAGCCCACCCCACCCCCAACATAAATGGAGAACAGAGCACAAGTGCAGAGCTTGAATCCGGAAATCAGACAACTGACGACAGTACAGGAGAGCATCAGACAACACAGAAAGCTTTATTCATCCACACCGTTCCAGAGAAAGGCAGGCTCACTTTAGTATGCTGTCATCTTGGGCTGAAAGGTTCAAAGGAAAATATTCGTGTTATTACACACTCAGACGACCCAAAAGGACCACTTCGCATGTTCGGTGCTCAACAACCCAGGATCTGGCTACAGTGGAAGCCCAGCCGTGTGCTGCCTCAACTATTGTCCCTGCGCGCTCTGACTGCAGCCTGCCATGGCAGTCGGTGGGGGACGATGCCTGGTTCTGGTTCTATGGGCCTCTGAGCGTGGCACATTCCCAAACAACTCCCTTCCAACGCCCAGAGACCTGGGCCTCGCCCAAGCAAGGTTTCACCGTGTCCCCCCACATCCACCGCCCTGCTCCATCTCTCCCTCCACCAGAGGACCCGCTGGCCAGTGCTGGGAGAAAGGAGGCAGCTCCTACCCCTACTGCGGGGCTCGCCTGAAGCAGCACCTGTATGTTTCTAAAGCCCAGGCAAAGGACCAAACTTTCAGATACACTCAGTCCAGTACCTTCTGCCAGTTCTCTCTCAATCCGTTTCCGTTCATCCTCCTTCTTTTTCTCCTCAGCGGCTATCCTCCTCTCCTCTTCCGCCCGAGGTTTCAGGTAACCTGTGCAAGGAAAGCGTGAATATGGGGAAGTACTTTCAGTGTCTTCACAGAAACACTTAAAAGGAATTTAGTGCCCCGTGAATGCCTGACCCGTGTGCTTCCCACTCCTCTCTCTCCGCGTGGGTCAAGGCCTGACTAGAGCTCGGCAGAGTGCACAACCGGGAGGGCAACTGCAGGGGCCGCGCCACCTGACCAGACCTTCTCTGCTCAGCTATCTGGGCCACCCGAGGCTACTCGCATCTGACCACAACACTTCTCCAGCACTCACCTGGCACCCCAGTTTTCAACAAGAACTAGCTGCTTTCCAGCTCCCCCGGATGCCCAACGTAAGAATGCACTTTGGGTCCTGACCACCTGCGCTAATCGCAAAGCGACCTACACATCTGCCGCGGCAGTGCTCCGCGGTCAAGCTCGCTCGGGTTCCTGGGGCTGGCGCCTCCCAACCCTGTCCCCCTTCTTGCCCTTCGCTGGGGTTTACGAGGCGGCTCTAGAGAGCCCCCACCCCCTGGCTATAAGAAGCCCCAGGGTTTCCCCTGCCGTCCGCCGACATAGCGGCCCCGCCAGCCGCGGTCACTCACTGTAGCGCTTGGCTCCGTACGCCACTCCGAGGAACAGGGCGGAGTAACGGCCCAGCTGCGGAGAAAAGTTGGTCAAAGGCAGGCCGGGGCGCGGGGCGCAGGGCGCGGGTCCCGAGGGCGCGGGTCCCGGGGGTGGGGCTCCCAGCCCGCGGGGTCGGGGCGCAGGACGGAAGTCCCGGGAGCGCTGGGACGGGGGATGCAGGGCGCGGGTCCCGGCGAGGGGGCTCCCAGCCCGCGGGGTCGGGGGCGCAGGGCGAGGGCCCCGGAACCGTGGGGACCGGGCGGGGGAGTGGTGGTGATGCTGGTTCCAAGCCCAAGAGATCGGGGCGCAGAGAGAGAGAGTCCCGGGAGCGCGAGTCCCTGGGGTGGGGTTCCCAGCTCGCGGGGACCCGCGGCGCGGGGAGCGGGGAGTGGGGGTGGAGGGCTCGCACCCGCGGGGGCGCGGGTCCCGGGTTCCTTGGGGTCGCGCACGTGGAGCCGAGCACTTGGCGACGGCCGCAAACCCTGATTCACCTTGATGAGTGGGGAGACTTGCACCGGCGGCACCATCTTGCCTGTAACCTTCACGCCGGAAGCACAATCCGCGGAGGACGCTGCAAGGCCGGGAAAGCTGCGGAGGCGTAAAAGCGTACAAGGCTAAACGCATGCGCCGTCAGGGGTGAACAGGACATGGACTGCGCCCCCCGGTGGACGGAGGTGGAACGCGCCTGCCCGCTAGGGGAAGGAATCACGCGAGGCGCGCGGCTCGCGAGCAGCTGCGCATGCGCGACTGCGGGAGCGGCAGGTGTAGGTTGGGCAGCGGGGGCGCCTTTTGCCAGAGATGTGGAACCTCGGCCTACCCTCATGTTCCCTGCAGCCCCTAATGTTGTCAGGCCAGGATGACACCAATGGAACGCGCCCATTATAAGTCCATATATTTGAAAAATATCAGTCAGGCACCCAAAGTGTAAAATAGATTGTTCTCTATTCGCCTCTACTATGTGGGCTCTCCATTCAGGACCAGCGAGTCGGGGAAGGAGCCCGCATTCCCGCCCCGCGGCTGGAGTGCAGCCTTCAGCCACATCCAGGCCCATGACCACCCCAGGTCAGCCACAAGGACTGCCCAAGAAGAACCCATGGTCCGGTTAGAGGTTTGGGGCTGGGAATCCGGGGTCTGTGGACTGATGTGACCTGAGTGCAGGCCCCCTTGCCCCAGGCCTCTCCCCCGGTTGGGGTGGGGGGGGCTGTTGTGGCCAACCCCTCTGAACTCAGGCCAGGCTAATCATGGTGGCCTCAGGACCCATTCCTGGGACGGCACTGCCTTCGGTGTCCCTTACGGCTACCGCCACCCCCCAGTCCCAGTCCCCCAGCAGAGTAGAGCTTCCTCACTGCAGGAGTCTCTCCAGCACAGGGGGCTGGGGTCTTCCTGGGAAAGGCACCCTTGTAGAGCCTGCTCCCTGGCTCCAGCCCTGGGGACCCTGCCGTCCCCAGCTCCAAGGTCCACCTCAACCAGGGCTTCAGGGACCACTGAACCTCCAGATGGGCCCTCCTTCTCTCACTTCTGCTGCTTACGGTGGGTGGGGGTAGAAAGCCACACCTGTGAGTCACTGTGTCCCACTATGAGTTGCTGCTGGTCTCCCCCACTTCTGAGGTTAGCCCTGGCAAAGACATGACCGGGTCAGCCACAGGTGTGCAGTGGGGCTACCCAAAGATGGAGCAGTGGTGGTCAGACAGCTTCCCAGCTGTGCTGGCTATGCTGACACATGGTTCCCAAAGCAACCAGGTTTGTGTTGGGGGGAAGGGGGCAAGGGTCTGGCAAGAGAACCACTCATCCCCTGGGCCCTGTGCTGCTCCAGAAAGAAGCTCCCTGAGAACCAGAGCTTAGGGCTCACTAGGGCCCCTGGTATGCCAGAGGGGAGCCCACTTTTCCTCAGTCTTCCAAACCCTATTGTCTCCAGAGAGAACTTAACTATAAATCTAAAGGGAATGGAATGCAGAGACAAAAAACTGCATGGTACGAAGCAGTTCAGTATATATGCCTGGAGGGGAGGCCCTTCCAGCCACCT